TGGAAAGGATAGATCATCCAACCCCGCCCCTGGTAGGGAGGCCCAGGGAGGAAAAGAAATCTCAGCCTTCAGCTCTGCAGCCAGAGACCTAAACTACTGAGCTACCCAAATAGCGAGCTATCTGCTCATCGATCTAGCCATCTAGGCTAGCCGGCTAGAGAGACTGACGGACAATCACAATCATTGTAGAACGGCAGAGCTGGAAGGGACCTTCTGGATCACTCAGTCCAGCTCCTGCCAAGGAGGCCCTGGGGGGAGGGAGGGGGAATCGAACCCCCAACCTCTGGCTCCACCGCCAGATGCCTGAACCACTGAGCTATCATTGATATAACCTTAGAACCTCAGGGCAGGAAGGGAGCCCGTGGATCACGGAGTCAGGAAGACCCGCATTTCAAAACTGGAGGGGTTGTTTTCTCCTGGAATTATTACTGTGTAATTACTCTGTGTAAACAGGACTCCTTCGGTGCTGGATTGGGACCCAGCCGGTGGCACCTACCCAAAAAGAAAGCAGTAAACCTGTCTGCCAGCATCTCTTCAGGACACCCTGGCAAGGCAGCCAGGTCTTGGCTTGAGGGCGAAATGGCACCAGTGGGGGAACCAAAAGTTCCCTCCGGAGCAGCTGGTGTGGCATCCGCACTGCACGGATCAGCCGGGCTCACGGGCTTCTCACTCCAGTCCGGAGCAGGAAGAATGGCCTGCTCCTCTGGCCGGTCGGGAGCAGGCAGACTCCTGCCCCTCTCTGCCCGTTCTGGAGGTGGAGGACTGGCCGGCTTCTCCATTTGAAGGGTCTTGGCCCTTCCCATGTGGCCTGGAGTCAACGGGGAGGGCTGTCCCTGGAGCAAATACCACCAGGAACACTCCGGCCCAAATTTTGGCAAGGCGTGACGAGGTAAGTCTCCAGGCCAAGCCGCCATGCTCTCCCGATGCTGCAAGGCCCGCTGACGCTCCTCTCCGCTGGGCATTGCCTTGGCACCTTGGCAAGGCTCGGTTGTGGTCAAAGCCTCCACGGCCGGGGCCCACAGTGAGTTTGTCTCTTGAAAGAGGGATCCTCTTGGGGAAGAGTCTCGTCTCTCTTCTGTCTGGGTGTAGAAAGAGGCCCGCTGAGGAACGCTCATCCCGGGAGAGAGGGAGCTCTTCCGGGCAGCGGCCGCCGCTTCCATCTGCAGGTGAAGGGGGCAGCGGTACTCGGATTCGGTCTCCGGATGAGCGGCAGCTGGCCTGTAGACCATTTGGTTCCCTTCATGGCTGGTCCGGAGGGAGCTCCTTCTCCGCTCTCCCTCCGGAGGGAGGGCACTCTGGAGAGGCAGGACGGGGCCCGGGGAGACGGGCCGTTTGCTAGATGCCTCCCTCCCTCGATGGAGAGCGCAGAGGTACTCCGATTCGCTGTCCGGGTGCAAAACAGGCTTGCAGCTCCCTTTCGACTCCAGTTGAGGAACCGAGCCGAGGCCTGCCGGTGAGGGAACCGACCGGGCCCGAGCCTCTGGGGTCGCCCTCCACACCTCGACCTTCAAGGATGGGCCCGGGGGGAAGAAGGGAGCCAGTTCTGTTTGGCTCCAAGCGTCCTTCAGGCTGGGCACTTGTCTCTGGATGACTTTCCCCTCTGTTTGAGTCCAAGCGTCCTTCGGGTTGGGCACATGTCTCAGGACCGGCTTCTTCACTAGGGGCTGAGACGGGTCACACTGTCCGGCACCAGTCGCTCGCTGAGAAGGACAATTTCCAGGTGCTTGGAGGGAATCCCTACTTAGAGGAGACCCCTGTGCCCATTCCTCCTCGAGGCCAGAGCTGGCTCTGGCCAAATATTTCATTGCCGGCTTTAATGAATTGTTCCGAGTCAGGCTGCTGGGGGTGTAGTGGCCGTCCCTCTCTGACAAAGGGCAGGCTTGCTGGCACATCTCCTCTAGTTGTGCGTTCAGCGCTTGCTGCATCGCCAGGAGCATCCGGCCAGCGGCCATGCTCAACTGCTCCGATTCGAGGTAACACCTCCCGCACCGGTAGTCCAAGTTTTGCGGTGACACGCTCTGGGCCACCGGCCTCCCTTGCTGTAGCGCCAAGTTGCTTTCCCCTTGCGGGGAGAGGTCTTGCCCGTGTTGGCCCCCTGGCCTCGCACAAAGGCCCTGGGACAGCTGGCTCCCTCGGCGGGGGGAGGCAATTGGGGGGGAATCCAGCCCTTTGGGGAGTGAAGAACGCCGGACGTCCTCCCTCTCTTGGGGGGGAGATGCGTGGCGCGAAACGTTGTTCAGCTGCCGGCCGGAGGAAGACGTCTGAGAGAGCTCGCTTCCTCTTCGTGACGAGGGGCCAGGTGGAGAGAGATTGGGGCCCCTCGGCATCCCTTGCATCAGGTCACAACTTCCTCTCTGGGGGGCCCCACTTCTGGGAAAGGGCTCGCTCCCTCTCCCTGGGGAGGCCCCTGGCGATGTTTTCCGGGGAGGCTCGCTCAGACTCCCCCTCTGGGAAGCCTGGGAGACCTCACTTCCTCTCCGGGGTGAGGGGCTCCGGTCAGTGGCTCTTGGAGGCCAAGCCCCCTGAGCAGCCTCACTTGCTCTATGGGGCAAGGCAGCTCTTTGGAAAGTCTCAGGGGTGGCCGAGGGGCCAATCCTGCCTCGGGCCGGGAGGCTGGAGTACGATTCCCGGGGAGGCGAACGATTCCTCGGCGAACTTGGAGATGGCTCTTTGGCCGGAAGCATGGTGGCCCCGACCTGCTAGCCACCCGATCAGCCTCTCTGCTTCGAAGTCTTCCACTATGCAGAGCGCTTGTCTTTGCTTTGATTTCTTCTCCTGCTGGATCGTTCTTCGAGGCGCTGGCGGTTCCCACAGCAGTTGCAAGAAATGCCCGCTGGCCTCCCAAACTTGCCTTGAGAATCACAAAGCTCTGATGTCATCCTCAGGGATTGTGAGGTCATCCTCAGCCACCACCATCCTCCCCCCCATCCCCCCCCAGGGAGCCAAGGGCCACATGCCCAGGAGGCAAAGATCCTGGCCACCTTTCCTTGGTGCAGAAGCACTTTCAAATAAAGTTCATGGAGCAATTTCAGAGCCCAAGTTCTCTCTTGAACTGTGGCTTAAAGGTCCAGGGCTTCGTACAGCAAATGCTAAGGGGCAGGTCTTCGCCCTTCTAGCAGCAAATGTTGGCACCCTCCAAATTTCGCCACCCTTGGGCAACCCCCTAGCCACGAAACCTGACGTTACAGCCTTAAATGACACCTCGCTTATTTATTTATTTGTGCATTTATTTATTTCACACACAAAAACCTTGCATGCCAGCCAATTTTGCTGTTCTGGAAGACAGGATCCACACAACACTCTTGATCATGTGTGAGGGGAACGAGGGCCTAACCAGATTGGTAGGGGTGGACTAGATGCCCCTGGGGTTCTATTCCAGCTCGACACACCTACTGTTTGTTTGCTGCAGAGACCCTGGAGGAGGGCTGAACTAAATGACCCTCGGTTGTTATTCCATGCTGCCGAGTTGCATCTGATTTATGGCAACCCTCCGGAACGGTTCTGCCTTTAGCAAGCCTGCTCAGGTCCTGCAAACCCATCTGTGGCTTCCTTTACAGCGTCCATCCATCTCACATTCAGTTTTCCTCTTTTCCTGCTGCTTAGAACTTTCCCAGCCATTGGGTCTTTTCCATGGAATCTTGTCCTTGTGTGATTCTTTGTTCTACCATTTAAAAAAAAAGAGATAATTTCACCTCTCCAATGCTAAGGAACACTAAAGAGAAAACTAGACTTTATAGGTAACCCATCAAAAATAAAAAGTTCTCTTGAGAAGGAAAAGACTGCCTCTTTTTTTTCTAACTACAGTCTGTTTCCATTCTGCAAATTAGCTTGATCTTGCTTGGTAACTGGTTGTGAGGAGATGCGTGTCTGGTTTCTCCAGCCAGGTTCCTCTGAAAGATTTGCATGCCTGGAAGGAAAACCTTGGCAGATCAGGAAATAGGACCTTGTCTTAACAGGAGATCTGTCCTGGAATTTATACAAAGCTGTTCCTAATTACCAACAGATAGGAAATCTGCTTGGTTGTTGCTGGTTTTTTTAATTTTAATTTTTAAAATTCTGCACCTACCAAAAGCTGAAACCGGTGGTGCGGTTGCCTCTCTGTAGGTCCAGGGCTGCCGGGAAGGTCTATGAAAGAATAAAAAAATAAAAAACACAGCAGCATGCAACCCTTTTGAAGCTGGGCCAACACTTCTGGGGCCCCTAAAATAAGGCACTCGATGGAGGCACAGGACCACAAAGGAGCTGGAAACTGCAGACTTTTCCCATTTACAAAAAATAAAATAAAATAAAATAAAAATAAAAATCTGAAAAGAAGAAACTCATTAGCAGGAAAAAACTTTCAGAGAGAGGGTCTTGTCCACATGTTGTCCTCCCACCCAATCCACCCAGAGCCTGGAAATCTTTCCTTTCTCAATGGAAAGGCCGCGGCTCTCCATGTGGTTCAGAAATCAAAAACTAAGGTGTGTGTGTGCGTTGTTGTTGTTTTGTGTGTGTATACACAAACACAAACACACACACACACATACACCCCTCTACTAGTAGCTGCTCAAACGTTATTTCCAGGCTCTTCCTCCTTTCCCCCCACCTGTCTGGAAGGCGCCTCCGGCAGGGGAGGGCCGAGTCAGGGGTGGGCACTCTGCACATGTTCAGAAGCTCTTGCTCCCCTTGGAGGCTGCTGCCCAGGCAGAAGCGACAGCCGCCACTTCTCCCGCTCCGGGCGAGGGAG